AAAGGAGAATGCAAGGATCCAAGGATGATGAGAGCGCTCTGAATACTGGATAAGAGAGGGAAAGGGTGTAAGCCTGCTGGCTCACGACAACTCCCAATGTCCTTATATAGGCGTGCGATTGATTAGAATCATCTCATCAATTACAGCTGTTTGCATAATTGATGACAGTCGGCTGAATAAAAAACAAGAACAAACTTTTGGAGGCTCTGCTTCGGCGGCCGTTTCCCGTCCTCTGAATGGATTTCGCACATTTTTGGCACAGCAGAAGCTGTTTTCATAGGTTTAAACTATCAGTTTTCGAAGTTGAACGACCCCAAAGTGATTGCCCGAAGATCTGATGATTGGCACCGTGAAATCACCGTGGGACGTCGGCCGAGACAATTCGCTTCCACCCAACTTCCGCCTGCTTCCGTCCTTCTTTTCTCTCGTGTTGGACCTCACGACGCGCGATGGCGTCGCGCCTGTTGCATACTAACTTGCGTTCTAATCGCGATCTCCCAAAGACCGATTATTCGCAGTCGTTTTTCAAAGTCTGTCTCAAATAGTAGTTGCTGCTCGCTTCCGCTCTCTCGCATCATGTGCATCGGCGGCGTGGACGGGCTACGGCTGTTTTCAAGACTAGATGTAAACACTCGAGGGAGCATGGACAGTAACGTCTCCGACCAGCCTGTCTCGTCCTCAGGCTCGCCCTCATCCTTCCTGTCCCCTTCATCGATCTGCGGCACCACTCGATGACAGCCGCCGGCATTGGCCATGAGGGTCGAAGGCAGCTGGACTAGGCCAGCATCTCCACTCTACCGTATCATCCTTATCCTTTCTCAGCGCGACTGCGAGTGTCCCGTATATATTTGATCAGGTTCAAGTTGTCCCGACAACGAGGCAAGGGATTTATCCCATCAATTACCGCGATACTGCTGGTTTTTTGTGCGCACGTCGCGCAGGGAGCATGCTGAGCGTCCCCGCGGCTCATAGTGTTGGCGCTGTCACACGGCGCACTCGAAGAACGAACGTGTAGCCATCACATCCGAGGCACGCTGCACGCGCTTGCGTGCAGTAGTCCGTTTGCCTCAAACATTTTTTATGTTCGGGAGATTCAAATGAGAACTCATAGAGCAATGGTGCACTTTTCTGATCTGGTCAATTTTGCCGACCGAAGCGGGTCATAGTACTTGGTTTGTTTTCGGCCACTCCGGAGAAATCTGCGACCCGAATTTCACCCGGTAACGGCAATCACAGGCCGGCATCGCTGGCGCAGCATCAGCATCACCTCAACTCAACATTCCTTCACTTGCCATTGATAACGCGTTACGGCGTCTGCCTGGACTAGATGCAACAGGAGGAGACTTGTTCAACCATGCGGGCTTTTTATTTTTTCAAATTTTTAGCAAGTGGGAAAGTATCAGAAACCTTCGCCAGACAACTATCGCTGCACAACATCCAGTGCCTCCTTCGGTTTGTCGTAGATCCCTGGAACATGGTCGGAAGTGGCTCCTGTTGAGTTTGACGGGCTTGCAGAAGGACTAGGAGAGAGAATAATCGAACGGTTGAGGAAGTTATCGCCGAAGTTCTATTTTACCGCGCCTTCGTATCTTTCTCTATCAGTCGCGCACCATTCAACCACTGGACTAAATCAAGCGCCTTGCCTCGTGCTCACGCCTCTAATTATCAACTTTCAAGGCCACCTTGACCTCGCGCATCTTGATAACAGCGCTCGTCAAGAGGACCCGCGCGCCGGTGTTGCGCATCCCGTGAGTATTTCGATGACCACCGATGCCAAGCTAACAATATATGCTTCTCGAAGCTCAACCATGGTTCAGTTCAATGAATCTGACACGCAATCGATTAGCTCAACATCCGAGTCGGACTCGGTGACTCTTACAAAGGAAGAATGGCAGGGAAGTCGGCCCAAGCTTCAGATTGGCTTCAGAAAAAGCTTAGGCAATACAATCGCGCGAAAAAGCGGGGGCATGAGGAGACTGTCAAGCGGCGTATGCGCGAGATCCCGGGCCTCGGGGAAGGGCACAGCGATCCAGAAGTGCATGCGGAATGGATCAGGAAGGCCGAAGCCTTCGAAACGGCCTCTGAGGAGGATAAGCAAAACATGTTATTGGACATCGGGAAGGGCCTCGGGATTATCATCGTCTCGCCGTTTTTGCTTGCGGGCGGGGTACTCTACGGCGTCGGTCTCTTCATAATAGGCCTCGGAGATCTCACTGGCGGAACTATTGGTCGGCTTGGAAAGCTAATGCAAATTGTTCGGTACGTCGTGGTGGCGTATCCCTTTGACCAAGACCTGCAGATTCGAGAATAATTCCGTTTATGACTATTTCAAATTCTGAATGTCGAGTTAGTACATCTATATCTATATAAGAATTGAGCACTTCCTGTGAGAGCGAGACAAGACCATTTGTCTTTGGGACATTCGTATTGGCTGCCCGAGCACCGTATGCCGTCAACTGCTCCACTACTCCGCTAAAAACCGTCAAGATGCTGAGTTCTAGGACCCCTGAAAATCCCTTTGGAGGATAGGTTTGGCCGGGCGGACAAAATCTGGCAAAATTTGCGGACCAAAAAAATGCGAAAGTGACCGCTTTGGCGTAAAAACCGTTTTCCACACCCTCAAAGAGCGTGGGAAATTAAAAAGTGGCGGACAAGAATCGCCAGATCCGAGGATTTCCGGAACCTATCCTCCAACGGGACTTTCGGGGGTCCTTGAATTCTCCACTCAAATGTTGAATTGCTATTTTTAAACTGTTGAGATGATGAATACAACTCCAGTTGAGGCGCAAACAACCTTTCCTCTCGCCATGAACACCAAGCAACCCAAAATGCGTCCACTGCTTCCCAAATCTGCATCTCAAAGCAGGCCAGAGCCGTTCTTGATCAAGGTCCGCTCAGATATCAGACCATGGAGTCCGTGATTACAATGGCTAACGAGCTTCAGGCCGCGGAGCTCCACCGAGGCATTGACCCTCAAGCTAGCCCGCGACAACCTTCCAAAGATGTGAATCTAAATATATGTGCATATAAGTCGTTCAACTGATTCTCTGTTGCCGCCTTCCTACTTATTAGCGGGCTGCTACCGAATTTGAACGACGCTCCCCAGGTCAAAAGAAGCGACGAGAAAGGGAAGCAAAGGAGAACAAGCCGAAAGCGAGTATCTTGTCTTGGTTAGTCCTGATCATTATTGACCGGTGCTAGGGCTCGAAAATAGTCAATCTTCGGCGTTGCGTCGCGCAACGGGCGCGCCGGCAGAACTTGCTACTGACATCAAAAATTATTAAACACTCGGAACCGTGTCGATCGCAGGCTCAAAATTTGTGAAGGAAAGTTGAAGAAGGGGAACGACGTCTGAAATCTGACCCTATTTGTGGTAAATTATCCAGCTGTTCTGATATTGATATCTTTCATCTGACGCTCATTGTGTAGATCCATCGGAGGTTTTGAACCAGGCCCTTGATCATGAATACGGGGTGAATGAGCCACGACGCCAAGACAGATATCGAGAAAGTTATAGAAGTCAAATGCTCAGATATGTTGAGCAGTATTACCACTGAGAAGCTAATATTTTGTGCTGTCGCTACTCATAAGCTATTTATTGTATGCACGGAACCAATATCATGCTCACGATTTGATGTCGATGTTTTATGGCCTCACTCATAACAAATAAATCTGAAGATGAAGGTAAGGATATTGGAGCAAAGTACGAGCATCTTTGGTTTTCAGATATTGTGGTTGAGGGATCATTGGGCTGTAGCCGCTGCCGCGGCCGTAGCGTAGCACAGGCTGTCTGCTAGTTGTAACCATAAATATGAATCGTGTCGCAATATCAAGGCCAAACTGAGGCCGCGTTTGATTATCTATCGTCTTTCGCGCGCATAACGCATCTAGCCCAGGTCTGTCATTCACAGTTGAGGGATTTAAAATACCGCCCACACCACCTTACTCCGGCACTCGCGACGTGTTGACCACCGGCATCATAAGCGCATCACGCGGTTCGACGCCCACCTCGAAACGCCCGCCCAGCTGCCCATCTAAGTCGCCCGTGCGTGGCGCGTCCTGCTCGTCCATCGGCGCGCGCTGCCTATCACCAGGCGCACGCTCGGTCCTCTTAGCCTCCGAACGTCGCACCTGATACCTGTTGCGGAAGTAGACGCCCGCGACCGCCAGCGCGATGAAGAGCGTCGTACCTGCCGGATCGACATTCTCAACATCTACTCTCGCGACAAGGAGATTCTCTGCCTACCTAGACCCACGCCAAGTGGAAGCCGGAGATTCGAGCGGGTGTTTGCACCGTTGGGCACCGCGGTGGTGCCGACAGTGCCACTGCTGTTGGCTGCGCGGCTGACGATAGAGGCGCCGGGCGCTCTAGCTGCCGGTTGAAATTGCGAAAACGGGAGACAGAAACGCGTACTCCATGACGCACTCACTGTATGGCGAGTGCAACAGAAGCTTGAGGGAGAAACAGGATTGCGAGGCAAGCTGCGATCGGGGCGAGGACCGTGGTCATGATTGAGGTGATAGAGGTATTGGGAAAGTTTCGCAGTATACGGCGGACTCATGCGATGAGAAGCAGTCCCTGTGGAAGGGATGCAGAGTCGTGACGGATGTGGCGGGATGAGGAAGCCGGAAGCCGGCGATAAGTTTGCAATCAAGGCACTCTCTTGGTGATCGCTCGGTGATCTCCGGTGGGTGGGTCGGTTTGTAAAGCTGAACTGCTCATCTGCATCACGGAGTAGGTCCAAAGCTTGAACACAAGTTACAGGTCTAGATCTGAGGTAACTGACAGGACAATTCACAATTTATCTGCTCGGTGGTACGTATTTGACTCTAAGTATTTCCACTCCGGTTCAGATTCCTAAATAGCGGACGGAGCTGAAATTGTCGTTGAGGAATGCGGGGAGCATCTTGAAACCGGGGCAACACGTCGGGAGTGGGAAATTTTATCACGTCTGTTTTCAGCCGGGGCCCGAAGGTCATTCAGTGGGTCGGTTCACAAGGGTGAGATGGCCGAGCGGTCTAAGGCGCTAGCTTCAGGTACAACATGTATTCTGCTAGTCCGAAAGGGCAGGGGTTCGAATCCCCTTCTCATCATTTCCATGTTTCTTGCCAGAATTGGGAGCCCTTGCCGTCGCTTCGCGGTTCCTCTTTTTTTCATGTCCTTTTTGCGTCTTAATCCCGTCAAGCTACATTTCAGGCTGCACGTCGTGTTTCACACATTGCCATAATTCCCGAAACAGGTCCAACCCAAATTGGCTTGCGAGGAGGAGTCGTTCCCGAAAAGGAAGATCAGGTGATGATAAGTCAAAGTTGTGCAAACTTCGGTACGCTGGGAGCTGTCAGAGCAGCAGCATTTAAATTTAGCGGGGGGAAGCGCACCTGTTCACACAAAAAAGCTGTCAGAAGCTGCAGGATTGCGGGGAAAGCTGATATCGCATAACATGGTTTACACTGAGATGCTAGATCCGGGGGGACTCTCACAATCTACAGGTCGTGATGGTGCGATCGAAAAGCCGGAATAGTTTCGACATCAGGGTATTCAGCTGGGTGATCGTCCCTCCACTGCCGGTTGGTGGGTTGGATTTGGATTTTCCACCCTGTGCAAAACTTAAACTGCACATTTGCGTTACAGAGTAGATCCAACGCTTCGACACAAGTTACACGTAGTATACAAGACATTTCACAATTTATCTGGTGGGGGATAGGCCCTATCTGGCCCCCGACTGTTAAACACGCTTGCAGCGGACAGGGCTGAACTTGTCGTTGGGGAATGTAGGGAGCGTCTTGAAACTCTGACCTAAAAAAACCGAAGTATGAGTGAGAAGCTTTATAATGTCTGTTGATAAGAGACTGGGCCTCACCGGTGTATGTATCTCCAGTGCAGCTAGGATCACTAGATGGAGATCGTATCAGAAGATCACTGTTGAGGGGCAAAAAAAGACGAACACGTAGAGCGTGCACGACCACCCGGCATCGGGTCCAAAGCTCGAGATATCATCGTTCCACTCGCGGGGGAAGTTGGAATACTAGTCGTTGAAGAGGCCGTAATTGGTGCAAGCGCCGGCAAAGTTGGAGTCGGCGCAGACGTAGACGTGCCCGTTAACGAGCGGGACGATCTTGCTGGGGTTCTGAATATTATAATGAGCCTTTGGACTCACACGAGGATGCGTATGTGGATGCGTACCGCAGGGGCGGCGTTGACGGCGACGGATGCGAGAGCGGCCGCAAGAACGACGAAGGAGAGGTTGAGGTTGAGCTGCATGGCTGAGGAGGCTTGTTCGGTGGGAGGACTGCTGGAGTTCTGAAATTGCGCAAGTTCTGTAGGGCTTTTATACGTTTCAGCTTCATTCTTCCTCATTGGAGGATTGGAAAAAGAACTGGCCAGGTACTTGACCTGAATATTTGGAGACAGAGCGTAGAGATTTGGCATCACAGTCTATCTTGAGTTTAGGAATCCTCGGAGACTCTGGCCACCGGTGTCCGTTCAAATAAATGTGAGGATTTTGATAATATATTGGCGCAAATCGCAGCATATTCTCTGGAATTTTACATAGGATAAGAATTATGTACCGCGCAAGATCCGGTAAGTCGAATGATTGCCGTGTTTGTTTATACGGCCATTCCACGGCGTCGAAGGCGGCCACTTTGGTATGGCTCAATTGACACCCTCTTGATCCAGTCATTGAAGATTATGCCAAGTCGATTCGAAGGCCCGCACTTCAAGGACGAACGTGGTTGAACGTCGCTTGGCAGTGATGTCGGAACCTTGAATTGACCGAATTGAGCCCAAATCTACAAATTAAGATAGCATCCATACATTTGAGGGCCTTCTAAATGTCTGCTTAACTGGGAAACAGAGTGATGAGCCGCCATCTTAGCCGACCGAGCCCGAGCGATGCCCCTTAACAACTTCCCGTGATGATGGTAGGTTTGTTTTATCACGGCACATGCGACCGGCCGCTGAATCCTACTCTGAGCGCACCTATTCTCATTCTCCACCCGAAGCGCAAGCTATGTAGCGATCCGCCGCTGAAGGGCATCATTCCCGCAATCCGGCATTACGTTGCAGCCGCGCAAGATGGTATCGTTGTGCCCGCGCGAGATGGTTGCTCTTCATGCACGCCAAAGGCCATCAGCACCAGCCTCTTGGCTTGACTTTGGCTTCTTCCCTGATCCAGGTGGATGGATGGCTAAGCTCGGCCGCTTTGCTCCCCTTCCGCTCCTCCTTCTCGTTGACGTCACTGATACATAAAGCGTTCCGTCTAGTCACCTCCCAAGCGTCTGCCCCGGCGTCGCCGAAACCTAATCCCCATCCGCCTCGGAGTTCGTGGGCGACTGGCACTACCGCCTCGCAGTGAAATCGGACGTCCGCAAAAGATCAGTGGCGAGTAATCGGACCGCCGCAAAAGATCCCTTCGCAGTAATAACATGACCGCGCAATATCCCAGGTATGGAAGAACGCTCCCACCCGGACGATGTCTCGGGCCTCAGCCTGGTCACCGGATTATATGTTCCATCTTTATGCAAGTCTCGAGCCTCAGCCTGGTCACCGGGCTATATGTTCCATCTTTATAAAGCGGACGCATATGATATGATTGACACCCCATTCTCCTCTTCTACGCCATGAAGCTGCATCTGCTGGGCCTAACTTTGCTGGCCGCTCTGGTCAAGGGAATTCCCTCGTCTACCAACTCTACAATCCAGAAACGTGCAACACCCAAGCTTGTTGTCGCGCATTTCATAGTTGATTGCACTACTCCATAATTTACACAATTAATCCACTCACTGGCGCAATCAAGGTTGGGATTGTCGATGGCTATACTCAAACTGATTGGGCCAACGATATCGCGCTTGCAGAGGCCACCGGCATTGACGCATTCGCATGTAAGTGTTCGTCTCAGTACTTTCTTATTACACTGACTTATCTATGAAAGTAAACATTGGGACTGATAGCTGGACCGATCCTCAACTGGCTCTTGCCTATGCTGCTGCACGCAGCACTAGCTTCAAGCTCTTCATCTCGTTCGACTTTGCCGCTTCTCCAGGCTTCAGTGACTTCAACAACCAAATCGTTCCTCGTCTGAAACTTTATGCTTCCAATACCGCCCAACTTCAATGGGGCAATGGTGCTTTAGTGTCTACCTTTGCTGGCGGTATGTGTTGTTCTGTTCATTATAACAAGATTTTGATAATATTTCTAGACGGCTTCGACTGGTCTGCAGTCAGAAGTGCTGTCGGTACCCCTCTCGAAATCATTCCATTCTATCAAGCAGCACAGGCCCATGGGGACAGTACGGACGGGCTTTTCATGTGGAATGCATGGCCATCACAGAATAACCTACCGATCGACCAGACTATGTCTATCGCTGGAGATCAATTGTCAGTACTCGTATCATCATACAGAACAGGTTCAAGCTAATCTTTCCAATTCACTCAGCTACCAATCACAGCTTGCCGGCTCGCCTTACATGGCAGGTAATTGAATCTCTCATTCAATAAAATAACTACTTGAAAGAATCGATAGGTGTCTCTCCTTGGTTCTTCACGCATTACACTCCACAAACATTCAACAAAAATTGGCTCTACCTCTCTGACACACTCTTAATCGACCGATGGAATCAGATCTTGAACTTGCAACCTCAACTCGTTGAGTTGATCACCTGGAATGACTTTGGCGAGAGTCACTATATCGGTACGAACAGTTACCCTGAAGTAAACGTACACCTAACGGATCACTTAGGTCCTCTCCACCCGGAACGTCCTTCTGTCTATGCTCCATCTGGCGACTCTGACGGTGCGATTCAATGGGTTAGTCATTCTATGCAGTATTTTTTTCTTCGAGTTTTTTTATTAATTACTGCTCAAGGCTGCTGGTTTCCCCCATGAGTGAAAATTTTAGAATCCTCATTCGGATCTCTACTAATTTGAGCCTTTAGTGCTTGGCGTAAAATCATCACACCATACATTGCTGCCTACAAGAACGGAGGACCCGTTACAATCTCTGCCAGTGTAAGTTATCTCATTAACAACTGACAAAGCTAACTTTCGGTGTAGCAAGAGAATATCGTCTATTGGTACAGGCCACATCCCAAGGGTTTATCTTGTGCCGATCCATTCCTCGGACCTCCGACCGGCCAGAGCTTTCCCGTAAGTTCCTTTTCAAATAGGATATCCATTTGAATTAACCCATACATCAGGCGGACGGTATCTGGGCTGCAACTCTCCTTGCATCACCTGCTACTCTCACAATGACTTCCGGCACCTTCTCACTCACGACCACGGCTCCCGCTGGCATCAACTACTTTTCCACAGGAATGGGTAGTGGTCAGCCTACTTTCAAGCTCGCCAGGAATGGAGTCACGATCACTCAGGGTACAGGCGCGCTTTCTATCGATCTAAATTCATGCAATATCTACAACTTTAACGCATTTGTTGGATCTACAAAGTAAGTACTACAGTACCATGTATACATTAGGTACAGCGATGGGTGCATGTAAAATAAGACCAAAGAAATACACGATATGGGCCGTGCTTTTGGGTTTTTTCTAAGATCCGTTGTCAGTGGACCCGACCCGTTGAAGGTGTGGCGATGCCGACACGTGGTGACGCACCGCCACATTGAATCTCCGACTCGCCCTCCCACAATCTCGGACGCGCGTGGCAAATCGAGCTCCAGACGAGATAATTTCGGAGATCCTATCCCCTTTGCTCAAGCACCCTGATTATTTCTTCTCGGATACTTCAGAGAAACCGCTTGTTGGCGCCAGCCACCGTTCATCGTCGACTTACCTGCTTGTTTGCAAAGCATGACTTCGCGTCGACGCCACTCTTGTACAACGTCATCCTGCGAACCAAAGCTCTGGTTTTAGCTCTCCAACAGGCCCCCGAGACAACCAACGAGTTCGGGCTGTTCATCAAAAAATTGCGCATTGAAGGAGGGTTCGGCCAAGGCATGCACACCATTCTCGAATGTGCCCCGAATATCACAGACTTGTCTCTCGCCCTCTCCGTCTGGGGCTCCGATAATGCCACAGGTTTATGCAGCGGGCGCCCACTGATCAATTCCGCGACCTGTTATCCTCGTTGACGGTGTC